TGTCAATGTCAGAGTTGTGGCTTCTGTCCCTGCTCTGGCTCCTGCTCTGGCTCCTGCTCTTGTGGCGCTTGTGTTGCAATCCACAGCTGTGCTTGTGGCAGTCATTGTGGGCACTGCTGCATCTGTGGGTGTGGGTGTTGGTATCCTCATGATCTCAATGCTTTCTCTTGTGCAATGGTTCTGAGTGAGGGGTTGTGGAGAGCTGGGACTGCTGTTGATTTTGAGAGTCAGTGATATATTTCATTGCATACACATACATGATGAAAAAAGGGCATGGGTGAATGAAAACCTGTGTAGGGGTGCTAGGAGCTGATGCTGTGGAAGAACAGGGTGAAGGTTGAGAAGAAGTGGAGGTACTGGATGAGGTGAGTTGATGCACCACTGTCCAGGCTGCTGTAGTCCAGGATGTGATGTCAGATGGGTTGGAGTGAATGAGGATGCTGTCAATAGCACTTGCAATGATGTTGGTCTTGGTTTCATTCAGTTGCACAGAAGCTCCATTGATGTGGTAGCTGAAGTTGAGATGGAAGCAGGCATGAAGTGGAGTAGCACGAAGTGGAGTGTAGTCAAGAACACTTCATGGTTTGGTGCTTGAGGCGTAGGCAGTGAGGACAAGCTGATAGAAGACATGACCTATTGTTGGTAGGAAAGCAGGTGAGAAGAGCATGTGCCACCAAGTTACATGAGCAAAATACATACTCAGTTGATGCACTTGAGGAGCAATGTGGACCCACTTTGGGTTCCACCTCTTGATGAGGGAGGGCTTCTTGTAGGCCATGAGCTTGGGAATCTTGGCGATGTCCTGGACCAGCAGCAACTCTGGATTGAAGGTATAGGACTTGTTCACTCAACTGATGAAGATGGTGTAGAGGCCTGCATGAGTATCATGTACACATACATGATGAGTTGTCAGCATATTTCTAAAAAGGAGTAAGCTGTGGAAGGGGTAATGAAGAGCAATAAGTCATCACATATGCATACACAATGCAATGTACCATTGTGTTGGACCCCACCAGCACTCTTGGAGCAGATGTTGGGGATGCTCCCTGAGATGAGATGCAGAAGCTGCCAGGGGCTATTCTTGTCAGCAAGGAGGTTGAGAAGAGCCGCCATTTCCAGCACATTGGTTGTCAGGATGGCAGCAAAGCAGTCTGTGTGGTGAGACAGGTTAGTAATCAAACACATGAGCCTTGATTTGGAGAGCAGTCATACCACATTGATTCAGATTGGTGTAACCCATCATCTGGTTCAGCCTGTGCTGATCCCAGTGGCAAGTGGATGCATCAATGGAGATGTCACACAGGACAATGTTGACTAGCTTGGGATTCATGCAAGTGACCCAGAGCTGTTCAATGCACTTGTGGAGGAGCTTCTGGTCAGATCTGGTTTCATTGTGTGTTCATGCTGGCTTGAAAGGTTCTTCTGCTGAGTTGGTGGATTTCCTCTTACCTTTAGCCTTCACTCTACATTTCTCCTTTTCTTCAGCTTTCTCCTTCTCCTCTTTTTCCTTTTGAATCCTCTCTTGCAACTCTTGGATAACATCTTTGATTTTGATGTGTGGATTGCTAAGGATCAGAAGAAGTTGCTCCTGGTCACAGGCAATGTGATGATCCTAATGTAAATCAAGCAATTAGATTGGCATATATTGACTGCACTTCATTGTGTATGTGTACATGATGAAAATGATGGAGCATATATTGACTACAATTCATTGTGTACGCATATGTGATGAAAGAACTATGCAAAAGGAGAACATACCCACTCTCCAGTAGCCACCTTGTTCTTGAGGTGGATGAAGTCCCTATCCATGAGGCGTGTAGCCACCTTTCTCGCCTTGCTCAACACATCTCTGGCAGGCAATGAGGAGCTCCTTGAAGGCTGGAAGAGAGTACAGTCAGCACAACAGGATAGTTATAAGAAATACTGGTGGGGAGCATACCGTTCTTGCTGATCTTGTACTTGTTGCCTGCTTGGATCTGCTTGTGCTGTTTGGTTGAGATGTGCTTGAGGACATGAAGCAGAATTGGATCAGAAATTGAGTGATTGTGAAGATAGAGGGGCATGATTGGCATGGGTTCTTTGGATTCAGCATACAAATTCTCAAGGTAGGCGGCACTCTTGGGCCAACTGTCAACATTGAGGAACTTCTTCATGATGCCAGTGTAGTTGCACAGATTTTCTTGTAGCTTCCTCTGTTCTGCCTCATTGAGCTTCTGAGCCTCAGGCTGCATGAAATAGTGGAGTTAGAAAGTGTTTGGAAGTTTGTAATTTTCTGTTGTGTACATATATGTGATGAAATGTACCATTGAGCTGATGAGCTTCTTCCAGTTGATGGCTCACTTGCCTTGAGTAGTGGTCCAGAACTTGTCAGTGCATAGGGTGTCATGGTACTGGAAGAAGTCCTCCCACTCATCCTTGTGAACTGCAGCCTCATTGTGCATGTGGTTCCAGCCCCATGTGAGGATGTGAATGTTGTCTTCTGAGACCTTGTTCTGGAAATGGAGAAAGGGTATTAGTTGGAGCAGGGACATCATCAAAGTGAGTCAGAAAAAGAAAAACATACATCAACAATGTCACAACACCACTTGAAAGACTTCCCAGGGAAAAGCCACCATGCAGTCTGAATGCAATGATTGCCATCAATGATGCAGTACTCAGGCATCCCATCTTTGAGGATGCACTGAGAGGGAGGCAGCTCTTGAACAAGCAGATGCTCCATCGTCAGAACACCCATCTCATTCATCAATGTTGAGAGAACTCTGTGTCCTCTAGTGGTCACCAACCAATGAGTGCCACTCTTCATCATTCAGTCAATGTCAATTGTCACAGTGTTCATCTTTACATGATCCACACAGAGGACACCATAATGCTTGAGGAGGGCCTCCTCTGGAGGCATGGAGAGCTCCTCTTCTGTGGGCTAGGAGGAGATGAATTAGCAAACATTCTATTGTGTATGTGTATGCAATGGATGGAATGCTGCTTGCAGACTGGGTAAGGTTGTCACTCATGTTGTTGTGTGTAGGTTGGAAAAGAATAATGACCATTGTACCATGTTCAGCCTTAAAAGGACTACGCTCAACCAATGAGATTTTTTGCAGACATTTCTTAAAAAGTGTTAGGATCAAGGCCACCAATGGTGACAGCCCACTCTGAAATTTCACTGTCTTCATGGGCGAGATGTCATTGGCTGCTGGTTAGATGGTAGACTGGTTTGTGTTGACACTAACTTCAATTCTTATCCTACCCTCTCATCCCACCACATCTCTCAACTGCTCACCCATGGAAGCATCAGACAGTGATACCTGGTTGGTCCCATACTTC